TTTAGTAGCTCAAAACAACATAAATTTTCTTAGAGTTCTAGAGGTCAGAAGACCAAAATGACTCTCAGGGAGATAAAGTCAACTGGCAGCAGGGTAGATTCCTTCCAAAGACTTTTTCCAGCTTCTCGAGGCCATCTACATTCCTTGATTTGTGGCTCCTTCCTTGCATCACCCCTAACTCTTGCTTCTATCATGGTATCTCCTCTCTCTTCTTTTGATTTGATCTCATGTCTCCCTCTTTTGAAGGATCCATGCAAACACACTGGGCCCATAATATCATCCAAGACAATTTTCCCATCCCAAGATAATCAATTTAATCATACCTGCAAATCCCCTTTTGCTATATAAAATAACATTCATACATTCTGGGGATTAGGACATGGAGAGCTACTACAAGTACAATTATTTATTTTAAAACAGCTGTTTAAATGTTCAATAATTTTTAAAAGACATTCAAGTATACTTCAATATGTCATATATTTACCCATGCAGTTACTACTTGCAGGGTGTTTCATTCCTTTGTGTAGATATATATTTTCATCTGGTATCATTTTCTGTTGAAAGATTTATTTTATTTTAATGTTTCTTATAGTGTATAAGCCTGTTCATGAAGATTTTTTTCCAGCTTTTCTATAACAGGAAAAAATTGCATTTAACAATTTTTTGAAAGATATTTTTGCTGGGTATAGAATTATAGGCCATGTACTATCTGATGCCTATGTGAGCTCCTCAGAGTGTTCCTCTAACCCTTTCAGATGGCTCTTTGCCTGCCCTGGGGTAGTTTTTCTACACACCAGCACTGACCAGTAAGTGGCATATTCCGAGGGGACCCTCTGCACATCTCTGGGGGTCTCTCTTTGGGCAGCTCTTTCTTTAGTACTCTGTCTTAGGAACCCTAGTTGCCTCAGTTCCCTGTAAAAGCAGCTCCATTTCCTCTACTAGGAAGACTGTGGCTTCCTTTCAGTTCTCCTGTGCTGCAGCCTGGAAGCTCTTCAGGCAGCTAGCAAGAATAATCCTAGGGCTCCCCTCAAAGGGAACAGGTGTCTGTGGTTTTATGTAAAGTATCTTACGACATCACTCATTTTTTGATTGATGGATCAATCATTTGAATTCAGACAGGAGAGTAAATCTGGCCCGTCATTCCATCTTGGCCAGAAGAAAAAGTTGGGGTGAGAAACTTAAAGGCATATTTGAGACCATGTCATTTCATAACGTGATATCCATTTCAATCAATCCTCAAGGAAAAGAAAGGGTAATAATGACTACAAAGATCAATTATAGCACTGAATGAAAAGAACTGATTGGTTCTGGTGTCTCTGGCTACGTGAGGAGGAATGAAGAGTGAAGGCGATGCTTCATTTTTCATAGCACCCAGGAATTCAAAAGAGAAAAACGTGGATCCTTTCAATGAACAGATAGATTAGTTCTATCTCCCACAGGTGGGAGCTGGCATTGTCCAGGAAGAAAATAACAACACAGCTATCAGCTCACTATATTGGGCACTAACTTTATGACAGAACAATTTCTCTACACTTTACATGTCTTAACAGACCAGAAGCCTGATATTTTACTAGTGAGGACACCAAGGCACAGAGAAAGAGAAACAATCACTAGGAACCAGCCTGCACTCACTCCCTACCAGACTCACTGCCCTTCCTTGAATGGTTCTTGTCCTGGGAGGGAGCCATGGGAGTGGTCTGCATGGACCCTTGCAAGACGTCTGGCAGATTCACCCCGTATGGTAGTGAACCACATGGAAAACCCTGCCATCAGGTTGAGAGAGTAAGATATCACAGGGGTAGGTCTCTAAGGGTCTCTTTCTCCACTCTGCACCTGTCCATAGATTCATCTGCAGGTGAGTGCAGCCACCCAAGCAGGACTGTACAAACCTTCAGTTAGGGTCACGGCTGGATCCCAGAGCAACACATACTTATTGAGTGCCTACTGTGTGCCAAGCACTGCTCGTGGCAGTTGAAAATTACTGGTGAAAAAGTTAAGATGACTGCCCTTGAAAGATTTTTGATCTAGAAGAGGGGAATTATCAGTCATAATAAGTAAGTGCACTCTACAGCATGTTAAAAAAAAAGTAAGTGTCTGGAAGCAGTGCTTTCCCTTAAGAGGTCAGTTGGAAGTCGGTGCTGCAAGTCGGTGGGCAGAGGAGGGCTACTGATCATAGTGTCAAGCAGGGCAGTCGGGGTAGGACACATTGACAAGGTGACCCTCAAAAACAACAACAACAAAAAATCTTTCCTCAAAAAAGATGAGGAATGATTCATGTTGGCAGAGGAAGGGGCTGCCAACGGTGGGGCGTGACCCCGCTGGGAGCTGCAGGGAGGCAGCAGGATAGCTGCAACACAGCAGGTGAAGAGGAACACAGAAACGACATGATAGGGGGCAACACAGTGATCTTGTTCCACAAAGCAGGAAGGAATGGCCATAGAAGACGTCTGCGATCTTGCCATACTGAACACATTCTGGAGCACATACCTCTATAGGCACAGAGGGAGCAATCTGACCACATTGTGATCCCTGGAATCCCAACCTGTGCTGGTGTCTTGGTCTGGATCTGACTTAGAGGACCAGCCCAGACCCAGTGTCTCAAATCTCTGACCTTCCACAGTAGTGCGAAAGCCTTAGTGAGACATGTTCTCCAGCATGAGCAGTAGCTGCCACCTCACTGTCACAATCCTTGCAAGTGGAACAATGACTAGTAACTAGCGGAGGCCTGCAGCCACCATGGTGACTCCACTACTTCACCCTCCCTCCCCCCCTTACCCCCCCCTCCCCCGCACATAATGACTCCTGCTATTGGGGCAGAAAACACTATTGGATTACTGGTGCAACACTCAAGGTAAAAGCAAGTAAGAAAACATGAGGTGCAGTTCCTGGGGAGCTGTGGGATTAAAAGTTCAATTTCACGGCATCTTACAAATGGGAAGATCGCATTACAAATTTATTTGCATTTTGAGTCTCTAGGGGATAAGGAGCTACAAAGCTGACCTAACCATTCATTACTTGTCGACCTCTAAATGTCCTCTTTTAATGAAAAGATGTTAATGAAGGAAAATAAAATATCATGTAGCCTTCTCTCCCTTGGGGTTTTTGAAGACAGATTCCCTTCTCTCCCTCAGTAATATGCACACTGGGCTTTCCTTCCTGACCATCCTCTTACATCCCTAAGTGCCTAAGTGTGGCAGTTAGGGTACTGCACAACAGTGCAAGGGCAGAGTCCAGCCTGGGAGATTGCTAGTCCCCAATATGTGTCTCCCTTCCTCAACCCCACCTTCCTGCAATCACCTGGCTCCTAGAGGGAAAAATGGCTCAGCTTGCAGGGAAGGTGGTCTTTGTCCAGATCCACCCATTCAATCTTACTACCCTGGAAGGCCAGCTCCTCTGACCTGCCTCCTCTCAGCAGCGCTGGGTAGGACTCCCTATTGGGCACTCTGAGTCCACTGGGAACCTCCCCTTCTCAACCCTAGGGAGGGGCCCTCTGTCTTTCCTAAATGCTCAGTGTCTTTGGGAGGGTTCTAGACATATATCCTCATGCTGGTCTTGTACTGAGCTTAACACCATCAAAGGCCCCCCTGAAAACTGCTCTCTTGATATTTGTATCATCGATTCACTTTGGAGGCTGAAAATGAAGTGTAAGCAAACGGAATGCTCTTGGCAGACACACACATATAGAAACGAGAGCTTTCATGGTCAAGCTGTGCAGAGGCTGATGAGGAGCATTAGACATGGAAGGCTGCTGGGGCGGTCAGAATCCTGGCCCTGATCACACTGCCCAGCGGACCAGCAGAGGAGGATTCAGAACAACACTGTGGATAAGTGTCCTTGGGAAAAACAGCTGGCAGTCGGTACCAGCTGGGTGTTGAGGTGCTGCTGTTCTCCATACCCCAAACAATGCCGTGCCCCAACTCTTAGATAGGAAGTCCTCAAGAGGCAGCATGAACTCCCTGGGAGTCGAGGCTTGCCAGGATCCGAGGCCTCCTTCTGTAGGCAGCCCTTGTGGACCTGTCTTCCTTGGTTTGGGTTCTGTCATGAGTTCCTGATCAGCCCTCCACAGATCCTTCCTGGGACTAGATGCTGTCCTGAGCCCTGTGCTTAGCTCTCTCTCGGGCTGCCTGCCCCTGGGTGGCTCCTGAGCCCCACAAACCTCTAAATACTTTCCTTTATTCTGTCCTTCTTCTGCCCCAGGGTGGTGCAGGCTGTGCTCCCTAGCTGAGTTCCACTGGAATGCAGGCTTCTCTGGCCATTCTGGACCTCCTGTGGCTGTTACACAGATGGCCAAGGGCATGGTGCCCCAGGTCCCAGCATGTTCCTCTTGGTACTCTCCATCTGAAGAATGAGCCAAGCCATGGGCCTCCCTCTTTGCTGCACAGTGAAAAAGTGTGTGCTCTGGGTGTGCATGCACTTGGATTCAAGTCCTTGTTTTCCTACCTACTAACCAAGACACTGTGAATGGCCACTTACTTAGTTTGATTTGCTCTTATCATCTGTAATATGGAAATAGAATCTAGGGAGTTATGGTGACACTTTAGGACCAGACACATAGATGCTGCTCCATAAATGTTATTTAATAGGGTTATTATCACTATTACATAACTGATTTATTACATTTGAAATTTTCTCCATCTGACATTCTCCAACATTTAACAGTTTTTAGTCCTCTTCCTTATCTTTGCAAAGTTGGAAATCAGATGATGTCAGATCACTTCCAAGAAGTATGGGTCACTCTTCTTTCTCTAGCATTCAAAATTTTTCATGCTAAAATATGAGGCTTCTCATTAGAAGTAGAAAGCCTGAAGCATCCCCCTTCAAAACAGCCTTGTATGCAGGGACCTGAAACACAAGTGTGGGCATGCATGCATGTGTGGCTATCTACATTACATATGTGCAAATGCCTCTGAATGTGTGTTATGTACACATATATGCACATGTTAAGTATGAATACCTATATCAGTGGCCCTTCCTGAGCCAGCTTTCCCCTGGATGCTTACCTCCATGTTTTTGCAGAAGGTGGCATTGGTGCCGAACAGGATCTGGCACTGTTCATTGGCGCTGTAGTGCATGCCTGGCAGCTTGTGAGGGAGGCGCACTGCATGCTGGCTCCTGGGGTCTGTGACCAGCAAACAGGTACTGACTTTGGACCTGAAACAGCCAAGAGGTAAGCTGACTTGCAAATGTACTGTCCAGGTTTTTGTCTTGATTTTTTGGTCTTTGAGAATGATGCACCTTCGGGCTGCGGTTGTGGCTCAGTGATAGAGTACTCGCCTAGCATGCATGAGGCACTGGGTTCAATCCTCAGTACCACATAAAAATAAAATGAAGATACTGTGTCCACCTAAAACTAAAATAAATATATAAATATTAAAAAAAGAATGATGCACCTTCGAGTGATTTATGGGAGAAGGACCCAGGCACTGGACATGTGGATTGTGCTTTGTTTGCTTTTTGTTCCCACATGACTGAATGTGGATTATTAAGAAACCAGCCACTCAGGAGGGGCCCAGGAGCAACACCCTTGAAGCAAAGGGTCTTTAATGGGGAATTTGACAAAAAATGTTTTTGAAATAAATGACCATGATATTTTCTTAGAATATGGTTTTTGGACAAAAGTTACTATGAATAAAGAACAAGCATAATTTAAATAAAATCAAAGTGCTTATTTCCAACTTCACAAATTCTCTTTCAAAGATTCGTGGGGACAAGGCAGCTGTCTCACCCGACTACACCTGCTGCTGCCACCAAAGGCTGGCCAGTGGTACACTCTACAGAGGACTTCAGGATTTCAATCAGAACAGAAATGCTTACTTACAATGAGAGGTATATTTCCAAAAAGGAAGCTTTATTAGAGGGTCAAAAATACTTTAACGCTTCCCCCCCTCCATTCCTAAAGCAAGGCAGATGGTATTAAAAGGAAAACCCAGTAACTTGCCAAAATTCTTGAAAATTGCATGCATGCCAGTACACATAGCTGAGGCTGGCCTATCTTCCCCAGACTAAGACATTACTTGTCACCAGTGGGGTCAGCACTGTGTATGTGAGCAAATGAAAACATACTAACTCTGTTGGGTACAACAAATAACATCACATAGCTATTACTTTTTACTAAAATTCTATGATAACACAAACTCAGGGGAAGTAGACCATATTAAAACCAATGGGTCCATTTTTAAGCCTGTTTACCACTTAAGCAATTTCCCCATCAACAGGAAACATGAGAGAAGACCCAGACGATGCCTTTGCCACTTTACCCCAGATCGCCTGAGTACTTTAATCCCTTGGACTGTAAAGCTGCATATGTAGGTGAGATTCACTGACTCACCTCTGTTCTACAGATTAACATGACTAAGTAGAGAAGTACTCAGGGCACACACATCAATGCTATAAGCCAGCCCTGAGGCAGGGAGGGAGGGAGGGAGGGAGGTTGTATGTATGTGTGTATGTGCTGCAGTACTGGGGATTGAACCCAGGACCTCATGCATGCCAGATAAGTACACCACCACTGAGCTACACTCCCATTCTAAGCCCCAAGGTTTCAACACTCTATGACCAGAACGGTCTGTGTGTACACTCAGTTTGACAAGGATCTGAAACTAGATGAGCAATTCTTCCACAGAATGTAAAAATGGAATGAAGTAGACATCTTGTAGGAAGAAAGTAGCATTGAGACAAACACACCCTGTCTCCACATGAGCAGGTGGTGAGCAAACCCACCCTGCAGCAAATTCATTCCCCACCAAGGGAGGCAGCCTCAGCACCCAGGGAGTGTTCAACCACCGCATACAGTACCCAAGGAGAACCTCTCAGGTGGTGTCCACTCATGGTCACAGGACTGCAAAGAAATGAAGTGGGTTTTCAAGCCAGGGTCTCTATGTTGATATTGCCATCATTGAATAATTATTTAATGGTCACCTGCTGGGTGTCCAATGTCATACCAGATACACTTGGGAGGAAGCATTTGCCTGTTACAGGATATTGCGCTGATCACCTCTTCAGGCTGAAAGGACTCTAATCATTTTGCATTTGGGGAGAATTTTCTATCGTACTATGCTTCAGAATGATTCAAGGGCTTACTTGAGGAAGTTTTCAAGGTCATCTCGACTGCAGGAGGACCAAGAGAGGTCACTGGGGTTCCGGCCTTTTACCCACTCGCCCGACATGATGTGGGACCGGCCAGCACAGGATGAGTGGTCATCGTCATGGTTCATCCCCAAGCTGTCCAAAGAGAAGGAGGAGGAGAGAGGAACACTATGTTATAGGTGTCTCATTTCCAGGTCCAGGTTCAAGCACACTATGTACACTTAAGTCTAAGTACAAGTGATATAGGGTGATAGCTGCTCTCACAGAGATCACAGCGGGAATTTACAGAGAAATAAAGTGGTGATTAGCTCACAAAGTGAAAGAAAACTGATTGAACAAAGAGACAATATAAATAAATGAAAATCTTTAAATGAACTGTGATAATTAACTGACATTATAGCTCTTAAACTCTCAACTCCTTTTTTAATATTTATTTTTTTAATTGTAGTTGAAAACAATACCTTTCTTTCACTTATTTATTTTTATATGGTGCTGAGGATCGAACCCAGGGTTTCGCATGTATGAGGCGAGCGCTCTACTGCTGAGCCACAACCCCAGCCCTAAACTCTCAACTTCTGATGATCAGACTTCCTTACTCCAAATATTCCAATAGAGGTTCAAGTGTTTGGTATTTCTTGGAGATAAGTCACAGTGCAAAGGGCCAGTGGGAATCACCCAAGACACTCTGTTATCAAATGTCATGGGTTTGAGTTTTCAAGTTCATAAATAACCGTGGCTTTTTGGTTTTTTCATATGTCTATACCTGGGTCCACCAAGATCATTCCCGTCACCTTCCTTGGCCATCTGGACCCGAGAGACAGCAGAATGCGTGGCTAGGTATGAATGGTGGGCCACACGCTGTAATCTGAACAATGAGTCACCAGAGTTTATATACGTACCATCACTGCAAGGGGCTGAGATGCAGTTTACTGCATCAGAGAACACAGTTTGCTGACTCATGATTCCCAGAGGAGAGACCTCGTGTGTAAGGATGCCTATTCTTTGCCAACAATCCCAAAGGAAGAAAAAGAAAAAATCATGCTTTGATTCATGTAGAAAATATTAGCTGCTTTTCAAGTGGCAGATAATAGACCAGAAGAAGAAAGAATGGTGGACCAGCTGTCATTTATAGCGACAAATCACGGCCAGCCTGTGAGAAGAGGTACTTATAAAAAAAACCCAAAAAACAAAAAAACTACTCAGCAGAATAATGAAAACCATCTCTGGTTAAATCCCAGCTGATCCTCCTATTGAGAGGTCAGGTGTCCATCCACTTAAGGTAAAAAGAAGAGCCAAGAAATAATTAGATAATTCTGGTCAATAAAAATAATTTAGACATTTCCAGTAATTGCTTTGCTGAATAAAGAGGGTCCTATTTCTCAATGCAATTTCTCACTTTTTGTCTTTTTTTTTTTTTTGGTGGACAACAGAAAATGATGATTTATATGGAATACATGGGAAAACAATTTTCTTTCAGTTTTTTCAAAAATTCTGTTAGAAATAAAAAGTTATTTTAAAGATATTCATTCTTTGTGCCTAAAATACATTCTTTTTTACTTTTACTCTCAGTACATTTCCTTTATTTTGAGGTTTACTTTTAAAAACTTTATTGTGGTAAGAACACTAAATATGAGATCTATCCTATTAAGGGTTTAAGCATACAATGCAGTATTGTTCACTGTAGTTTAATGCACAGCAGCAGCCCTCTCGACCTATTTATCTTGCTTAGCTGAAACTTGATGCCCACTGATCCATGCCCTCTCCACTGCCCTCTCCTCTGCCCTTGGCAACCACCATTCATTCTATTTTTCAATTCCATGAATCTGACTATTTTAGATATCACATGTAAGTGAAACCAACAATTCTGGTTCTTCCCATGATTGCTTCACTTCACTTACTGTATTGTGAAAAGTTAACCTCCAAAATACATAAGGAACTCCTATAAGCCAGTAGCAGGAAAAAATACCTGATTTTAAAATGGGTTAAAGACTTGACTTAACCATTTCTCCAAAGATAACATACAAATGACCATCAGGTACATGAAAGGATGCTCAATGTCATTAATCAACAGGGAAATGCAAGTCAAAACCTTAATGATACCTTTATGATGTTTGTCATCAAAAAAAAAAAAAAAACAAAGACAAGTACATGTAATGATGTGGAGAGATTGGCATGCCTGGTCACTGATGGTTGGAATGCCTAATGGTGTAGTGTAACTGCTATGGAGAAAAAGTACCAAGGGTCCTCAAAAAAATTATAACAGAACTACTGCATGATCCAGCAATTTTACTTCTGGATATTTAATCAAAAGAAGTGAAAGCAGGATCAAAGATATATTAGCCAAGATGTGGAAACAATCTAAATGTCTACTGATGGATGCATGGATAAATGTGTTACATGCATATAATGGAATATTATACAGTCTTTAAAAGGGAAAATTCTTCCATATGTAACAGCATGTATGAGCTTTGAAAACACTATGTTAAATGAAGTCAGATTTTCACTTTTTTTCTGCCTGCTATGTATGTATGTGTACACATGTATGTATATATGCATGTGTGTATTTATCTCATATTAAGTTTTGAGGGAAGTGAATGTTTTTTAAAGTACATTTAGGTTATACAAGAATGACTTACCTTAGATGTAATGTATGGTTTGATTTGATATCAGTAAATAAAAGTAGTGATGATGTTTTCAAACAGGTAGACTTAAAATTTTTGATGGATTTTAATGAAATCTGCAAAATGTGTAGAGGTTATGAGATAGGAATTTAAGGATATGGAGAAAACACTGAGTCTCAAAAGAGAAATGCCCATAAACTGTTGGAACACAGAGCAAATAACTCATGAGCCATCCAGCCCATGACCTTGTACCCAAGTCCTTGTCTGCAGCTTGCTGACCGGCTGATGAAAAAGCAACGACACTGCAGGACAACCCCAAGGCAGCTGGAGGAACCACTGCTGTAGGGAGCATATGCATAAAGACGGTGGTGACCAATAAATGACCCTATCATTAAAATAGCAAGATGCATCCTCCTGGATGGAGATTTAAAATGCTAATGAGACATATGATGTAGGAAGTAGCATAATTAGAACATTCCAAGGCAAGGCACAAGGAAAACTGGTACAAAACTGCATAACCCTGCCCTGACTCCACCTCCAGCACAGCCCCGTAGCTGCTGGCCCTCCATAAATGCTAAAACTCCAGACCAAGATGGGGTGATTCACACTCTTTGAGACTTCCCACACTCCCATTCCCAGGTACTTGTACCTGGCACAACCTTAAATTCTTTTTTGCACTTTCCCATGATGTGGTCAAGAACCTAGAAAGTCGGAGTAGAGGTCTCCTCTGCTCCTGGAGACCTCCGTGGATCTCCATATGGTGATAATTATAGAAATGTCTCATGACAAAAATGGCTTCAGCCTCTATAATATGGGGTAACTACTGCACATGGAATGGGTTCAACGGCTCTGTCCCCATCCAGCTTTGGCAGGGCCGTCCTGACTCGGCAAGAAGGAATGTTCCTTCCAATGGTCGCAACCCACAGACCCCAGAGTCCTCACCTGAATCCCAGACCAGAGACCCTATTTTGAACACGACCTTGCCCATGAAAGAAATGAAGCAAGTAAGTTCTATGTATAACAATGACATGAAACACTAAGGGAACAGCCCAAGAGAAAGAAATCTTTTGTCTCTTAGGGAACATTAATGATTTCCTAAAAGCCTAAAGTTCTGGGATTCTGAGCTGGGTCCTTGGGTAAATTATCTGGGGACTTACACAGCAGATCCATGGGCCTTCCCCCACCCCACCCCAGTCCTCCATCACAGAAACCCTTTCTTCCCATACAGACCCAAATAAAGAAGGCCTCACGAGTTGTAGCGTGAAGAACATGTCAACTGTTACCAAATTTGCACGTTCCCCAACTGGGCGCGATTCAATCTTATTTTCAGAAATGGTTAAACCCCTTAGTGGATCTCAACTCTACCTACAGGAATTCCCTCAAACCTCTTTCCCACCTTTCCAAACCTGGGCCTCAATCTATGGAGAATCAATACACCATTTAATTATTCTATCTTTGCACTTGGAAAAACCACCTTCCATCTTCCCTAGGCAGGATCTTCTGAACCAGACAGTTTTTTTTCCCCCCAACAACAAGGATGTTTTGGAAAATGACAGCCCAAGGAGATCCAAGCCCTGGGAGGAGAGTCTCCCCATAGGCATAGGGATGTTAGGCTTGAAATCACTTCCAAGTTTTCTCTGGTCTTCAGATTGGTTATAAAATAAAAAAGCCTCCTCTCCCCACACTTCTGGACTCTCCTGGCCAGAGGCCCTGGTCTCTCAGGAGATTTGCAGGATGGTTACAAAAGTGCTCAGAAAAGTTGAATGTGCAGTCAGCGATTCTGCATCCACCAGCAGCACTTCCCTCTCCCAGCCTTCAGAAGAGGACTTCCCTGAAGAATGTTCCAGCCATCAATAGTGGGATTCTTGGCTTTCCAGAGCCTGTCTCTAATATAGATCACGCCTGATCTATTTTAAAAATGTTAAAATGCTAACAAAGTGCCTCATAAATTTACAGTTTGATGAACTAGCATTGGGCTGAGAGTCTCGATACTTGAGGTTTATATAAACTACTGCTTAGGTTATTTTTAGTTTAAACTAAAGATTACCTGACAGAAAATTCCATGTTATTTTAGGTTTATGTCCCAGGGCATCTATTATTTCTGGCAATGATATATTTAACAAAAACGTGTAGCATTAAGTATGCACAGTAATTTTAACTCTAAATGTCTGTGGGATTGAGGGCACAGGTGGGCCTGGTGTCACATGTATCAGACATAATAACAACTTAATGGCCTTGAGTTTATTTTATCTTAAAACAAAATAACATGCTACTTCTGTATTTGCTTCTGGAAATCCCAAGTGAACCCTGGAGGGAGTTCTGAAAGTATTACACTGCTCCACCCCTTCTGTCTACCTCAAAGGCTCTTCCTTCACGCATGGTTACAGAGTGTGGAGAAGAGACATCCAATGCATGGTCGTTCAGAACTCTTCCATGACTTCAGGACGAAATTTGGTAAACCTTAGAGTCGCCTTTCCCCTCAAAACATCTTCTAGCAATAGGGCCAGTCCTCAT